TCCATTGATGAGATTCTTCAAGATACAATTCTCGACTATTAAATAATTGAGCATCATGTGATAATGCAGTTTTATTTTCATCTTCATCATCTGGAAAGTATACTTGTTTTGGAGGTAAATGTTCACATCCAGTAGGTATGCAAATTCTAAAAGTAGTTCCTTTTTTCACTTCTGATTGCACTGTGATTTCACCACCATGGCGGTTCACCAGCTCCTTTACCAATGCTAAACCAATGCCAGTACCTTCGTGACTTCGAGATTGGCTGGATTCAACACGGTGGAAACGTTGAAATAGGTTTGGAATGTGGTCTTTGTGAATACCCACACCTATGATAATATTATTATTATTAATTATTATTACATTCAACTCATTCAACTCATTTAACTTAGGTAATAAAAAATACCTGTATCGGAAATTTCAAGTATGACAACCTCTTGTTCATCTTTATGACTTGGATACAAACGAACCGTGACATTTCCTGTCCAAGTATGCTTGAATGCGTTGGAACCTTTAATATAATAAAATTAATATAATAAAATTAGCACGTAAAGCTCAACAACAAACAACAACAACAACAACAACAACAACAACAATAATAATAATAATACGGTAGTCATTACCAAATACTTACACAAATTGAAAACGATCTTTTCATACATATCATGGTCGATAAAAACCTCACGTTCCAATTTTTCATCAAATTCTTTTTGAGTAGGAATATCAATGATGTAATCCAATTGTAAAGACCTTGCCATACTTTCAAAACATGATGCTAATTCGAGTGTAATTTTAGCTACGTCGGTTTTTTGGAATCGAGCCTCTAACCGACCGGCCTCCATTCTCGAAAACTTAATATTAATTGACGGATTAAAGTAATTAGTTAAATGATGAATTTTTTTTTTCGCAAGTCATCTAAATTAATTAAAACATAATTAAACATACCTGTAATAAAGTATTGACAAGTTTAAGTAGTCGACGAGCGTTACGATTAATCAATTGAAGATTGCTGAGAATTGGTGCATCAGGTGAACACATGGAAATTGCTTCCTCAAGAGGCGAAAGCATAAGAGTCAGAGGAGCTACATAAATTTAAATTTCAAAAAAAATTATTCATAAGTTATTCATAAAAAAAATTTTTTTTTAAATTATTAATTACTGACTTCGGAACTCATGACTGATATTTTGGAAAAAGTTAATCTTTTGACGATTTAAATCTGCCAACATTTCTGCTTGTTTCCTTTCTTCTTCGCGTGATTTACCATGTGTCATACTTGAACTTACATGACCTACAACCAGCTATTAGGTATTAAGAATAAAGAGAGCAACACGCGATAATGTCAATTAATGCAAATAACATACGCCAAACCGATTTAAATATTGATAATATATATATTTAACCTGTAAGAATCCCATGTATTCACGATCAAGGGCACGTTGTGGATTAATTCCACATATCATAACTGATGTCAACACACTCTTTCCTGTAGACGTGGTAACTGGTAACAAAATTGCCTTATTACCATTGGTTAAAGTAATAATTTCATGGTTTCCCGTACGTACTACTTTTTGTAAATAAAATGAAGTGTTGTGACTAGAACTTGTTTGGGTATCACTGGAAATTTCCATACTAAGATTATTATTATTATTATTATTATTATTATTGTTATTACTATTGTTATTATCATTACTATCATCAAGGGTAATAGTTATGTGATCCTGTACATCAGACAGGAATTCAGGTAATGTCCTTTTAGAACGGCCCTTGGAAAACACAATTTCATCAACACCATCAGCACCTCCAATGGTCTCAAGATCTTCATCAAAAGTAGTAGACACAAGACGAGCTGTTTGAGTTTTGCTATTTGATTCATCAGCTTCGATTAAATATATTAAAGCAAATGGTATATCTTCATTGTTATCATGTAACGTTGAAGCTACCATATGACATGAACTTTCGACGGTTTTTGCACCTTTAAGAAATCAGAAAAAAAATCAGAAAAGAAAAGAGATTAATATATATGTATATATGTATGTGTGAAATATATGTGTGAGTGAAAAAAAAATTAATAAAAATCCAATACCGGGAGTGCGATTTCCCAATTCGCCAAGAGTTTTTAATCGTCTTGTGGCCAATATTCTTTGAGTAGTCTCCTGTACGGCATTAAAGACACCATTGACAGTGCCATCAGCTTCAAATATTGGGCTTAGAGTATATGAAAAATAACATTCTTCGACGTAACCTTCTCGATGGATTAACAAAAGGTTGTCATCTCTGAATAAACCTTGGCCAGTGGTCATTACTCTAAATTAAATTAAATTAAAATTAATTAAAAAAAATTAAATTAAATTTAATTACCAAATTTAAATTAATTTGATATCATAAAGTTACAAATAATTATTTTAATATATACTCTTTAAACTTTGGGCCAAAATCCTCATCATAAATTTCAGGCCAGGCCTCTTTTGCTGGGAGACCCATTGCTATAGAAAATATTTTTTTGTTAAATTATTTAAATTATAAGCATACGATCATTAGGTTAAGTCACGTGAATAATTAATTACCTTTCGGATGTTTAGTTTTTAGTATGGGTCGATACACTTTTGAAGTTTGATGAAGTTGGTAAAGTTGTCCCAAAATGATCAATTAGAATTAAATTAACGAATTGAATTAACGAATTAAAGCATAAAGATTCAATCATACTTTGGTTATATATTAAAATTAATTCTGGACCACAATAAACAGCGATAGGGAAAACCGAATGAAGGCACAGGTCCTAAGCAAAAAAAAAAAAAAAAAAAATTTTCTCAATAATCATTTTCTCAATATATGAATTAACATAGAATTTGAAATTGAATTAAAAGATGATTAAAAAAATATAACAATTTAATAATTACCACAGTTGACTTCAAAGAAGGAGCCCAACTAGTCATTGGCCCCAAGGGGGTTTTCGACCAGTCAAAGTTGTAGACCAAATCACTCACCGGTATTTCATCGCGATAGAGGTCTGAATCACCGGTTGATTCATCCCCTAGCAGTGACATATATCCTTTTTATTTTAATTTTAAAGATAGTGACAATTAAAGAAAAAAATTTAATATACAAGGAAAAAATTTTCATTAGTTAATAAAAAGACGATAAAATTGATAAAAATTAGAAATCAAGATATATAAATAAAACTGCATTATCACATGATGCTCAATTATTTAATAGTCGAGAATTGTATCTTGAAGAATCTCATCAATGGA